GCAGATTGATTGAAAGGTGGAGATCATAATACAAATTTTTTCCATAAAAAAGCTTCAGCCCGGCGTAAAAGGAACACAATTCGAAAACTAAAAAATGAAAATGGGGAGCGGTTTGTCGGCACAGACCGAGTCCTACAGTGTATGTGCAGCTACTACTCGGAACTGTGTGTGGCGGGCATCGTCCTTAGTCAAACCTCGGTACTGGATGCGGTGAAGCCAGCGATCTCGGGAGAGGATAATGAGTTGCTATTTAGACCCATGGAGAGGGATGAAGTGGTTAAAGCTTTGAAATATATGGGTAACGCAAAGCTCTGGGCTCGGATGGGCCATCGCTTATGTTCTACAGGCAGTACTGGGAGATTGAGGGTGACGATGTTTACATGACAGTAAAGCAGATTATTGAAGAGGGGGTAATGCCGGAGGAGGTAAATCATACGATTATTGCCTTGATCCAAAAGTGAAGGAGCCGATAATGCCTAAAGAGTTTCGTCCTATTTCGATGTGAAATGTGATCTATAAGCTGGTCTTGAAGGTGTTGGATAATCGATTGAAGACTTTGCTGAATAAAGTTGTCTCGCCGGACCAATAAGCTTTTGTTCCGGGACGGTGCATCATAGACAATATCATGGCCGCTTTCGAATGCTTCCATGCGATGAGTAAGAGAACTAAAGGTAAAACAGGGCTCCTAGCTGCTAAGATTGACATGGCGAAGGCTTATGACAGGGTGTAGTGGCCTTTTCTGGAAGGAATTATGAAGCGAATGGGCTTTGCCGACCAGTGGGTCAAGATCATCATGATGTGTGTGACTACGGTTTCTTACTCTGTCCTTGTGAATGGGCATAAATCAGAGGTGTTTACTCCTGGAAGAGGAATACGACAGGGGGACCCACTCTCGCCTTATCTGTTCCTTCTGTGTGCGGAGGGGTTATCTGCATATACCTCGAAAGCGATTAATTAGGGTAGACTTCATGGATTTCGACCACCCCAGGGAGCTCCGATCATTTCACATCTATTCTTTGCTGATGACAGTATTTTCTTCGCTAGAGCTACCGTCCCGGCGAGTTTGGCCTTGAAGGGAATCCTACATGACTATGAAAAAGAGTCGGGACAACAGGTAAGCTTTCAAAAATCGGACGTGTCTTTAAGCAAGAACGTCTCACACCACAAGAGGTGGGAAATTGGTGGGATTCTGGGCATGAAGGTAGTGGAGAAACATCACAAGTATCTCGGCTTGGAGACAAAGGCTGGCCGATCGAAAAAAGAACTGTTTGCTGACATTGTGGAGCGAATTAGGAAAAAATTTATGGGGTGGAAGGAAAAAACTCTTTTTATGGCGGCAAGAGAGGTGTTGATAAGATCGGTCGCGGAAGCTCAACTTAACTACGCAATGTCGGTCTTCAAAGTTCCGGAAGGGGTGGTTGACAAAGTACAAAGCTTGATAACGCGGTTTTGGTGGGGCCAACATGGGGAGGAGCGTAAAGCTCATTGGATCAGACGAGAGAAGCTTGTGATCCCGAAATAAATGGGTTGAATGGGGATTAGAGAGGTAAGAGGACTTAATATGGCTTTCCTTGCGAAGCAACTGTGGCGGTTGATCCAGCAGCCGGAGTCTCTTATAACACGAATTTTTTGAGCAAAGTACCATAAACACGACTCTATTCTGGATGCAGAGCTAGGGTACATGCCAAGTTTTGTTTGGCGTAGCTTACTAAGCGCGCAGGAGTTCTTAAGGGCTAGTTTGCGAGGGCGAATTGGCAACATTATTCAGGTACGAATTTGGGAAAATAAATGGATACCGTCTTTGCCAGGGCATTTTTTGGAATCGGGTCCGATCGAACTACCCGTTGACGCGATGGTGAGTGACCTACTTGATGAGGAAGAGGATGCGTGGGACATGAACATACTTGAAAGTTGCTTCCCGGCTGACATTGCCCAAGCTATAAGGGCGATCCCTGTTCGTTCAGGGGGGAGTGATGAATTGATGTGGCAACACTCTATTGATGGGGAGTCGGTGAAGGAGGGGTACCGAGTTTGGCTGGAGCAGTCCATGATGAGACCGGGGGTGCAGGGGTCGAATGAAGGAGGGTTTTGGAAGAAGCTTTGGGGCATGAAAGTGCCGCCAAAGATGCGCCATTTTTTATGGAAACTCGCACAAGACATCTTACCAACTGGGAACCGAGTTAGTGAGAAGAGTGAAAAGTGGACCGATAAGTGTCCATTCTGTGATGCCCGCGAAACACAACACCACGCCTTTGTGGAATGCTCCTTGGGCTCGAGAATTTGGCAGCAATCAAGCTTTGTTGATCTGTATGACCTCTACGGGACGGGTTCAACGATGGAATGGTTGAAGAAGGCGAGGGAGAAGGCGGGGGAGGAAAGGTTTGCCGAGTAGAGTGTGCTGTTATGGTTTTTATGGAAAGAACGTAATGATCTATTGTTTAACGGTAAGAAGACGGTAGAAGACAAGATCGTAGAAGGGAGAAGCTTTCTTGGAGGATTATCGCCAATGTCAAGAGAAGAGTACACCACCTCAGCCTCCTCCATGCGAGAAGAAGTTGCGCAAGCCTCCGAGAGGTCGAGTCATGGTGAACACAGATGCTGGACTGCTACAAGATGGAGGGGTCGGACTTGGAGGGGTAATGCGGGACGAGAATGAGACCTTTATGATTGCAGCGACGAAGATGGTACAGGGGCAATGGAGATGGGAGCTCAGTTGGCGCAACAATTTAACTTCCAAAATCAAATTATGGCGACAGATTGTTTGCAGCTGGTGCGACTTTTGACAGAGCAGTCTTGTTCCCGTTCGGAGCTTGAAGTGGTTTGTCGAAACATTCGATGACTAGTGGATGAGCGACGAGGAAGCTTCTCTCATGTGTACAGGGAGGCAAATGAAGTTGCTCACATTATGGCCCACGCTCGTACGAGATGGGATGAGCGGATTGTTTGGCTGGATCGATCACCAATTTACTTAGTTGATGGATTAAGCTGAATGATGTAGCAGCAAACACCGATTAATGAATTGATCACAGGTTCTGTAAAAAAAAATTTGTTTTTTGTATATGTATTGTTCGAAGCCAAAGCTAACAGTATTTGAGTAGAGGAAACCAGTGCTTGAAAATTGGAATTAACCTACCGTTTGATATAAATGAATTTCATAAGTTTTTAAAATTCATTTTGAAATGAAACATTTTTGTGTTTGGTATTTAAAAGAATTCATTTTCAATTCTAAATTTTAAGTTCTATGGAATTGGAACTAATTATAGCAATTCCGAGGAATTGTGATAAAATTTTCAAATGAATTCCACAAGTATTTACTAATTATAATAGAATGATATAATTATAACATACCGAACACAGAAATTCATTTGACAATGAATTTTGCACGACAGTTCATTTTTATTTCTAAGGATTTGAATATGACATACTAAACACAAGATATCATTTGACAATGAATTCTACATGGTAATTCATTTTAAAATAAAATATTTTTTTTATTCATTTGGTACCAAACGATATGAAAGAATCAAAATCTAGGTTTTGTATTGCTTGTGAGTTAGACAAAGACTTGTATCGGCCCAAGTCGAGAGGCATCGCAAATCGCAATGCGTCGTTAAGTGAGTCAAGTATCGTGGCCCATTTGCAGTGCCCATTGTTGGATAGTCCATGCAATCATATGACCAATATAATTGTAGTTTGTACGTCTAACTTGGGGGTTAAGTTTCGGCTCATTGTATTGGAGTTGTGGTACTGTCAAAAAAATATTGCAGATATGACAGAGTTTTGGCTTTATCCTAGGCCCTAGCACTATAGTCATGGTTTTGTATGATGTTAGAGGGAACTCGAATAATAAGAATATAAGATAGTAGCCGGAGAATTTTGTCTCTTTTGTAGACTAGCCTCAGTTCACAGAGAAACTACGTAATGATATTGTTTCGTTTAATTTGATATTCTAATATGCTTTGAGATTTAGAGCCATTCAATTTATAGTAATGAATTCTTCAATCTATGATGAGAACATTTTTTATTCATATTAATGAATATACGGCTACCAGTAATTGAACTTCAAATTTGAAGCCAAAACATATAAATTGAAGTGTAAATTAGGGGTGGCTATTTGGTCCGGGCTTTTTTAGCGTTACGCAAAATCGGATCGTATAATCCAGACCGAGAGCAGATAGCAAACAATCCAATTCTATTTTCGGACTTAGATTTAAAGTAAAAAACCGTTTGGGACCGTACCGAAAACCGGATAAGAGAGCCCAACACCCAAAACTTAACCAACTCTCCTCACCATTTCAGACCTCATGTCACTCAAATCCCCACAAACTCTATCTAAAATCAAGACTGAATTGGTACTGGACTTGATCAAGACCGAACCAGATCAAAAGACTGTATCCAATCCAATTAGGGATGACAACAAAACCCGAACCCACGGGTACCCTACCCGACCCATCCCGGTCAACACGGATAAAACCCGTTACACTTTCACCGGGTTGGGTTGGATTTGGGTTTATGGATACCCGACCCATGGGTACCCACCCACCTATTTCGTCGCCTACTCTCTCTAAACCCTACCCTAATTCTAATTTCCCCCAATCTAATTTAAAATTTGTATGAATAATTTGTGGTTTGTTTGAATTTTCTAGACTCGTGTTTTATATATGGATAATTTGTATGGAGAAATTGATGTTTGACTTTAATTTTGATAGGAACTTGACATTGTAAATTTTTTACCACAAAAACCCATGGGTACCCATGAACCCGCAGATACCTAGCGGGTTGGGTTGGGTTTGAGTTTTCCAAACCCATTGGATTTTACCCTGGGTTTTTATGGATAAACCCATGGGTTTGGGTTTGGGTTTGGCAAAACCCGACCCATTGCCATCTCTAAATCCAATCTTTGGTCCTTATATTCCTGAAAAAACCGGACTGGGACGAGATCAATTCGAGCCGGTTTAACCGAATCGTATAGTCACCCTAGTGTAAATAGTAAATACAAACACCGAAAAGAATAAAGTTTCCATATGTGGCTGCAAGACAAGGATCTCAAATCCCTTCTTCCCAAAGTTATTGTCTGAAATGGAAATCTCTAACTAAACCCAACATGCGAGGTGGGTTACCTAGCGGCTAGCTGACCATTGTTTCTCGGTTAAGAAGCTGACTCTCAGTCTCAGGCTCTTCCTTTACTCACTGCCAATTTCCAGGTTACCATTAAAACCCCACACCCACCCTTCCATAGTTCCATTATTTCAGTTCTACTCTTTTACATCCGACCACCTCCCGCCGGTAGAAATGGAGCCCAAAACCTGCTCTGCCGCCACCGCGAAGGATACCCAAAAGTTCACCTGGAAGATCTCCAATTTCTCCACGGTGAAAGAGACAAAACTCTATTCTGATACTTTCTCAGCTGGGGGCCACAAATGGTACCGCCCATTTACACTCCCACTTCAAGTTTCCTTCTTTCCCCCTTGGCTCTCTTTCTGAAACCCTAACTCGAAGGCCTCTGTTTCTGGGTTACCTTGTGTTTGTTCACTCTGTTCTGTTGCTTCAGGAGAGTTCTTGCTTATCCAAAAGGGAATGCAGTTAACCACTTCTTCTCTCTGTTCGTGGAAGTGGCTGAGACTGAAGCCATGGCTGCCGGCTGGAGTGTGCCCGCCGGGATCAGCTTGACTCTGGTGGACCAAGTCCATGGCCGTTCCTCTGTAAAAAGTACTCCTCTTTCTTTCTCTCTTTTGTAGGGTTTCCTTGTTGAACTTTATACTCTGCCATTTGGTGTGATGAACTGTGTACGTTTCCCTGTGATTTCCGTTCTTGTGCCCATTACCATTTTTGGACCAAGTTTTGCTCTGTTTCTCTAGTGCTCTTCTGGGAGGGCTTCAGTTGTTCAAGATTTCTTTGTTTTGTTTCTCTTCCTGCACAGGTTTCAAACACACTTTCAAGGAAGTAGAGAAAGTGTTGGGTTTCAAATCTTTCATCCGAAACGGCGACCTTGTCGATCTCCGAAAAGGGTTTCTCGTCAACGATACTCTTCTTATTGAAGCTCAAGTTTACACTGTTAAGTTTATAGTCTGGAAATGTGAAAGTGATACTAACCCCAAATTTCACTCCCATTTTACCATAATGACTGAGCTTTAATTTTTGTCCCAATCGTGGTTTCAGGAAGCAACACCAACGGAACAAGCCGTTCCTAGACCCGCTGAAGAGTCTAATCAACCTCATGGAGCAGCTGCAGGAGAACCAAAGACTCCAACTGTTCACATAGATTCAGGAAGCGAAACAGAGATTCAAGCTGATGGGCCTCAAGCCTCGCTGTTTTCCAGTAAGGTAACAATATTGTTGGTTTGAGCACTGCAACAACATTGACCCCTTAGTTAGCTTGGTTCGAGCACAACAACAGCATTGACCCTTTGGTTTGCTTGGGTTTCTGCTCCAACAGGTTGCTCGAACTAGTACAACGACGAGTCCCCGGTCTTCTGCTTCACCAAGTGTCCAATCTTTGAAGAGCCTGATATCAGAGCTTTCAACCATGTCCAGCAGATGGAGATCAAGTTCTACCCCCGACTGCCTCGAGAAACAAAGTGAAGAGCTGGTGGATCTCTTCGAGATGTCCCTCGAGAAAATATCCAGAGCTGATTTGTTCGATGAAGTGGAGAAGATCATCGTCAAGGTTGCTGACAACGTGACTGACACTATCAAGGTCATGGTGCTGAAAGATTTGGTGTCTCGTCTGGCAGAGTTCAAGGAGACAATCCCCAAGGCTCTTTCCACTATCGAGTCCGCAGCATCTGTAGAGACCCGTATTGTGGCTGCGTCCAAGAATCTGGAGGCAAGGCTAGGTCACAGGGAGGATCAGCTGAGCTCGTTGAAGACGGAAGCTTCGAGGCTGGAGGAGGTGGAGATGAAGCTGGAGGCGGATATTCAGCAGATGGTTGCTCTCAGGGACAAGACTCGTCATCAGAAGGATTCAACGATAGCTGAGTTGGAGAAGGCCAGCCAGGAGGTTCTTGTGGAGCTGGACGAACTGAGGAGGAATGACGAAGAACGCCAGCGAATTGGGGAGAGCCGGTTGAAGGCTAAGGAAACATTGGCTCAATCGAACACAAGCTGGAAACTTTTCAAGGAGAACTTGGGGTTGTGAGAAGGGATGATTTGGAATGAAAATAGAGGAAGTAGGGATGTAGATGATGACAAAAAAATGTAGATTTGCTTATGCTAATGAAACATGTAACAGGATCGTAGGTTATTGACAGCTAATGGGTATGAAATGAAGTATGAACTGAACTTGGGATACAAGGTTTTATATTCCCGGGGAGTGAGGTTGTTCTTAGGTAATCAGTTTGTGGAGTGAGAACAAAAGCGTGAAAGTGTCTATCTTAGAAGAATATGATATTGAGAGCGCAAAGAAAGCGCTATTATTATATTATATTTGATTCTTTATTTTAGCATATTTAAAAAATATTATGCAATATAATCATTAAAATACATAGATATAATGCAACGAGTAAGGAATTTTATGATGGGTTTATAATTTAAATTTGAGTACCATATAATAATTTACCTTTTATAGTATAAATTTTTTATCAAACCTAAATCACCACCACACGTTGATCTATGTGTATATGGATAGTTCATTTATCTGGTCGGGTCGTAGGTTTGGTGGATGGTAGTGTCCAACATCATGCATATCATCCAAATCCCATTATGGATGGTAGCGCCAAACATCATGGATACCAGCCAAATCCCATTATGTTCGTGTCCAACATCATGGACACCATCCATGGATGGTAGTGTCCAACATTATAGATACCATCCAAATCCCATTATGGATGAAAGTGTCCAACATCATGGATATCATCCAAATCCTATTATGGATAGTAGTGCCTGATAACATGAACACCATCCAAACCCTATGTTAGATGGTGTCATCCAAATAAGGGATACCATCCAAAATACTAAGTGGATGGTACTAGTAATATTGGTGACCATCTTGTCTGGTTACCATCCATTGATTGGTGTTTTAGTCAACATGGATACCATCCAAATTGTTGTTTATGGTGACCATCCAGTGGTACCCAGGGTCGATTCTCCAATGACATAATGACGTGTCGAAGGTGGTTACCAGAAGCAGCAATTGACGTGCAAAGGACGCTCGGAGAGGAGTTAGTGGATGCTACGTGGAGCTAATTTTCAGGAATAGAGAGAAGGCAGTTAGAGGGTGAGACACAACAAAAGTTGAAGCAGGGCTCTGGAGGGTGGCCAAACAAATCAAATAAAAATAGTCTCATAAAATTTTATCATTCTCTCTCTAGAATCATTGTCTTAGCAGTAGAACCAGGGACCCTCCACGAGGCTTCTCTGTTAGTTATAGTCAGTAGTTGCGGAGCTCCCTAGGAATCTCCATTGGAGTAGAGGTAACAGTAACTAGATCATTTGATGTATGCATCGAACACCCTCGTTCGAACAGTGTTTGAAGAGGTGTGAACCGAGTGACATCATTTTCTGTTTTCTTGAAGTCAGGGTGCATTGATCACGTGAAATTCCACCAAAACAAATTGTCACACTTTGTGGGATAACGTGTGTTCGATATGGCTCCGCGACGAAGGATTCAGAATGGTGATCCTCCACAAGGTGCTGTGGAGGAGGAGCGGTTGATCAACGTTGATGTTGACCAAGCAAGAGGAAACAATGTTGTAGCAAAGGTGCCACCCATGGTGTCTAATGTAGATCCAAGTGAAGCAACACCATTGATCCGCCAAATGGTGGAACAACTAGTGGTTGTGATGAACAATAACTACTAGCAGGTAAACCTTCGTCTTGCTTCTTTGGATGAGCGTATTGTTGGATTTAGTCACGTGTTGATAGACGATTTGCTAAATTATTTGAGATGGTAAACAAAAATACGAATGATTAGGGTGAGTTTGGGCAATTGTTGAACATATCAGTTTTGCAAACTAGGGTTTTTCCTTTGGATAGTCGAGACCTCCCAAATCATGAAAGTGAAAATGTTAACCTACCACCCAAAGGTGGTGGTCGGAGTGAGTAGCCATGCCCGGTGAACCCTACACCATTGGTGGCAACCACCGTACCAACACCTCAAAGGGTGAATGTTGGCAAGAGTCACGCCACTTCATCTCAAATCCATGTTGAGAAACCGCCACCTGTGCAAGGTGTTGCTCGAAAAAATATTCCAGAATCCATACCATACATGGCTCCTGTTAATGTTGGGATGGGTTTGGGTCCAAACAATGTTGACCCGATACCACCACGTGCGTACCTGCAGCAAATCCCCCCAGTGAACATGCAAGGCGTGGATCCTGGTGGATTCATACCGCTTGGGTGGAAACAAGGGGGCATGATGTGAATACACTCCATGATCAGATGAAACAGTTGTTGGTTGAACAATTTGGTTTTGGTATGAGACCAACGATGCCACCTGTTTATCGAAATTCATATCTAGAGTGGGTGGATAGAATGTATTTGTTCCCAAGAGGGTTTAGGGTACTAGAGTTTGTACCCTTTACTGGAAAGGGTGAACAATCCACAGTGAAGCGACGATTTACTATCCGGCGTGGTGATGTAGATGATTTTGTCAAGTTACGTTTGTTTGGCAACTCTTTGACAGTACCTGCTTTTGCATTGTACGTCAATTTTCCATCTAATTCTGTGCAAACTTGGCAACAAATGGAACAAATATTCCATGCGCAATTTTATCATTCTAAACCAGAAGTGACCATGGCTGACTTGGCACGTATGCGCCAACAACCAGGGGAGACAGTTGAACACTTCTTAACGAATTTTAAAAATGTTCGTAATCTTTGTTTTGTGCACTTGACAGAATGTGAATTTGCCAAGCTAACACAAGGTGATTTAAACTTTGAACTTTGTAAAAAATTTTAAGATAGAGAGTTCTCTAATTTATTCCAATTGATGTAATGTGTGGTTAGGTATGAGACTCTTCTACGTGAAGAAGAGAATAGAAGTAGTGCATCTAGCAGACTGTACTACGCTAACTGTGATTATGCAATAAAACATGTTGCTCATGAGGTGGATGGTGTCGAGATAGATTTGGCTAAAATTATGCAAGGAAATCCATTTGTTTGTGCTTCCTTAGCTAAAATTGATAATGAACAACAAGTTGGAAAACCTAACCACGCTTCAGTCCAAACTAGAAAATTTTCTTTAGATGTTACCAAGTTGGACTTAATTTTTGACCAGTGTACAAGAATGGTCATATTAAGCTGTCTAGGGGTATAGTATCCCACCCCCCTGAGAAGTTAAAGGGAAAACGTTATTGCAAGTGACATAATAGTATGTCACATGCCACTAATAGTTGTGGTTTTTCGTAATGTTCTGCAGGATGCGATTGACAAGGGATGCATCAAGTTCAGAACCGAAGAAGGATGCCATGACAGTGGATACTGATCTATTCCCAAATGTTGCGGGCATCAACAGGGTCAATCTTGAATGTTCAAAGATTTAATTGTCATGCTTCCACCAAGTGGTAGTGCCAATGTCATTATGCAAGGTGGATCGTCATCAACTAGCATGCAAGATCATACACATATTGATCCGGCTGACGAAGAAAAGTTGTGTCCAGAATGCAAAGGGAAGCTGAATCTTGGTGGAGATAGACCAACCTAATCGGTCCGTCAAAGACTGGGTCCACAGAGACCATTCAAGCCAAGGTATCCAAAATATAAACGTCAGGTGGAAGGAGTACGTGCACCAGCATGGGGAAGAAGGCAACGTAGGCAATGGGTTGGTGATAACATCAAAATTGGTGTTATTTACCCTAAATATCGAGGCATGTTTTGTGCCAATTCATGTGCTTAAATGCTTAAACATCATCAGATACATCCCTATTGCGTCCCTATTTGATTTCAATGTGATTTTAGGGTGTATTAGTCGATATGTGCGAATTAGGTACAAAACAAGGTCACAAGGAAGAGCTAGGAGCAAGGAGGCTCTTCTCCAACCCCGTCTTTTTCTATTTCTACCATGTATCTTCATTCCTCCTTCTATAGGTAGCCAATATAAAATACCCCTTATCCTAGACGGTTATTTGAAAGTGATCTCTATCATGAATGTGCTCCATGGAAAGACATCTTAAAGCAATTAAAGGTAACTGCCCCTTTCCTAGACATGGTGTTGAAGATTCCTAAATATACTAGATTCTTGAAAGACATATTGTCGAGAATGAGGAAAATGGAAGAGGTGGCTATGATATCCGTTAGTGAAGTTGCTTTTAAAACCATTGGTTATGGAGGATTCCCTCCCAAGCTAAGAGATCCGAGAACCTTCACTATTCCATGCACTTTTGGAGATAAATTTTTTTGGATTCCGTTAGCCTACTTGGGGTCTAGCATCAACATTATGCCTACATGGATATACAATGAATTGGATCTTGGACCACTCATTCCTACTTCAATGCAAATTGAGTTGGCCAATAGATCAGTTGTCAAGCCAAGAGGAATCATAGAGAATGTCTTGGTAAAGTGTGCTCATTTCGTTTATCCGGTAGACTTCGTGGTTCTAGATACGAAGGGGCATGATGCATTCATTTATCTAGGCCGACCATTCTTGGCCACGACACGAACTATCATTGATGTAAGTGGAAGGAAGATCACCTTAAGGTTTGGTGAGGAGGAAATAAGCTACAAGATGACTCCAATCCCGAATTTTCACAAGTATTACAAATGGGACAATGTCAAGATGAATTGTGAGCCAGTTACACCGCCTACCACACCACCTTCAAGCTCCGAGATAGAATGGTTCAATATGGTCTCCCATGTTGACCCCCACGACAATCGAGTTGAAGGAGTTAATGATTCATGCAAGGCTATGAAGAAACCGGGCAAGGAGAAGTTATCTTGCAAAAAGGAAACTCAAAAGTTGTTCAAAGTTTCTCATCTTTCCGATGGTCATAGAAGAAAGCTCCAAAGGTTTATCGTTGAAGAGAGACATCCAAAAAAGGGAAGCCGATTTGTTCTATTCTTGAAAACAAAGAGTTCGAGAATGCTACAAGCCATTCACGTATAATGACATCTCTACTAAGGAGCTTAACCCTCACCAACTCACAATTCATTTCTCATATGGATCATTTCTATTTCAAGCATCGGATGCGGCTTCCGAGAGACTCCATGGTCTTCACCCTGGACTTCACCACAAGTACGACTTCTACGAAGGGTCATCAATGAAGAATGGAGATCTCTCCATTTGAGTTTAAGGAGTCAAGTCCGACAAAAAGACTTTTAAAGAATCGCTTGTTGGGAGGCAACCCAATGTTTTGGTTTGCGTATCTTTCCCTTTATTTTTTGATTGAATAATAGTTTGGTTAGTACTTAGAAATGCATGGAAAATGATTGATACGACTTAGCCCTGACTTTTGGATGTTTGTTTGAATGTTTGGATGAAAGTTTGAACTTAGAGAAGTGGAGAAAATTAGTTGTCATGAACATGGCAAAGATCGCGATTGTGAGGCTAAAGATCACGACCGACATCACAAGCCACGAAGTCCTGCTAAAGATCGCGGCCCAGAAGCCATAGATCGCGACCGCGATCTTGGAGGCTCAGGACGCGAACTTCGCGAGGAAGGAGCCTTGGAGAAACAGAGAGTTTCCCCAGTCGCCTCACAACCAACGTTCATCTGCCCGCGAGGAAGATCACGATCGCGAAGTCACCCCGCGATCTTCCGCTTCCCAAAGGCTGTAACGACGACGACTGCGTTTTGAGATCACGGCCCGAGACCAAAGATCCAGCACACGATCTCCCTACCTCAGGCCGCGAACTTTCTCGAATTCAGAATGCCTATAAATACAAGACCACTTTCCCCTTTTGAAGTGAGCTGATTTTGAGAGAAATTTTCTGGTTCTAGAGAGAGAAGAGAGAGAAACTGAAGGAAGGATAAGAGAAGGAGTAGAAGGAGGAGCTAGGATCAAGGAGGCTTTTCTCCAACCCCAACTCTTCTTCTATTTCTACCATGTATCTTCTTCCTTCCTTTATGGAGTAATCCTCTAAGATACTAGGGGTTATAAACTCCAAACCCTAGTTTAGAGTTTACTATGTATATATGGATATTTTAGGGTTTGAATGAATGAATGTGTTTGTCTAGTTAATTTTAATGCCACTCTTTCCTAAATGATGACGCTTGGGTAATTTGCCCTAATCTTCCCTCTTAGCCTACTTTATGCTACCGCGCTAGGTACAGAGTTCTAGAGTTAGACGGGTATGCGCCATCTGACGAGGATAGATTAGATGTACATACCTTCTATTAACTTTTTGGATGAAATGTTTACTAGGCAACCGAAATTTAAGTTAGGTGATTAATATGCAACTATTTCGACATATGACCCAATGAACATTGAACACGCCGTGCAATTAACCCTATGAACACATGACTTCGCACTCGCAGTCACAGAAACACCTTTATACTCTTCCGCCGTATCCCAAGTTCTCTCCGACAAACAAAAGTGCGGAAGAAGCAAAATGGAACAACAACAAACGTTACGACATGATACCGCCGTCCCCGAAGACGATGACGCGCCGACGCTGAGCTCGCACGCCCTCGAAGCTCTCAAAGAGTTCCTCGCAGAGCAGAACCGTTCCGGTGCGGTGCGAGAAGAAGAAGAAGGAACCGGGGAGCCCGCGGTGGAGCTAGTGTCAGAAGATTGGCGGCTTAGCCAGTTCTGGTACGACCAAACCACCGCAGAGACTGTTGCCAGAGAAGTCATTACCCTGTGCCGTGACGACTCGGCCGCCGGCGGTACCGTTGATTCTCGTCGGGTAGCTTGCATCGCTTGCCCCACTCTTTACGCCTATATAAAGGTAAGCAATGAATTAGTAATCAAAGGGCTGAAGGAAGGAAAAAGGAAATAATTTGTCGGGAGGGTTTAATTTTGAATTGAATGTCTCCTGCAGAAAATTGATCCGAGTTTGAGTGTTCAATTGCTGGAATACGACGAGCGGTTTGGGAGGTATGGAAGTGATTTCACGTTTTACGATTATAACCAACCGGAAGAGTTGCCGGCGGAGCTTAAGCATGGTTTCCAGGTTGTAGTTGCTGATCCTCCTTACTTGGTGAGTGGAAATCAGTGGCATCTGGTTACTTTGCAGCTAATTTAGGGTTTAATTTCCCCCATAATCTTGCTTTAGTCGGAGTATTTTCATTTGGTTTCCCTGTTCAACTTGTAGAGCTTGTTTAAATCTCGTATCTTGAGCTACTGGTTATCTGTAGATCCTCGTGAGGCATTGTAAAATGATTATGCAATTAGGGACAGCAGATATAGAAGTCACAAAGTTATGCATCCGTGGATGAACAACATGGACAGATCTGTGATAAAGAGCTTGTAATTTTGTTTTAACTTCTATGAGATCCAGTGAACTGGAGAACTCTAGCATGTAAAATAAGAGAGGCTACATAACGGTGTTGAGTTTACAGCCATGTCAGTTCCTGCACTTCTTCGCCCGACTTCCTTTTCGCCTCCTGTGGTATCTTTAGGGTCATATGAAGCTGGATCCACTGAAAAGTTGTATGCTTTATACCTTTGAGTTGCATCTACCGTCAGAGGAGTCCATAGTAGCTACTTTAGCTCATGTGTTGTGTGTGATTTCAAACTAATCTAGCTAGAGTTCAACTGTCTGATGGGGTCTGTGTTAATGTTGGCAGAGTAAGGAGTGTTTAGAGAAGGTTGCTGAGACGGTTTCTTTTCTTGCAAGACCCGGTCCCAGCAACTCGAACTTGCTTCTGCTTACAGGTAAATTGAACTGCTGTGGCTTCGCCGCTCTTCCTTTTAATCTCTGTACCTTAGTCCTATAGATGCCTTTGCAGTACAAGGATATGTATTCTCCTGAATGCATACAGTTGAAAGTAGCTGAGGGATATTTTCAGTAACTTGTGGTCACTTTTCGAGCAACAGTTTCTGTTATCAATATCCTAGGTTATGGAGGTGAACTGATATGGTAGAATAACCTGCTGGAAGCCGGGTTGTGAATTTGTTGCCTATGCAGGGGAAGTGCAGAAGGAAAGAGCTGCTGAGCTATTGGGACTACACCCCTGTGGGTTTCGGCCTCAGCATTCCAGCAAATTGGGGAACGAGTTTAGATTGTTCACCAACTATAACCCAGGGGCGAGATTAGGATGGTGGGAAGTCGAGAGATAGATGAATCCCTTTTTCCTTCTTCTGATTGCTTACAACTGCTCGGATGAGTAAGGTTAATCTTTTCTTATCCCTAGTGACACCTCGTTTGCTTGTTGGATTTTGAAAATTAAGATTTTGAGTTTTAGAAATATTTGGAGTTACGATGGATTTGTTGCATTTTGTATTTGAAAGATAACATTGTTCTTTTAGTTGTTTTTTTTATCATGGATTTAGTTGATTTGGTATTTGGTTCTAAAAAATTTGTCTTCATACTCAAATACCAAATGAAATGTAGTATTTGCAAATACTTGGGTCCATGGATTTTGAGTTAAAAAATGATCCAAATCCGTGGGCTTCACGAATTTGCATACCTTAACACACAATGGCTTTGTCCAAAAACATGATGGTTGGTATTTGAAAGCCAAATCTCATTAGCAAACAACAACAAAGTAAAGTACTGCGTTTTCCGGAAAAGTAGTCCCCTACGGATCTTTAATAACATTTATAATAAGTTTCTCGAAAACGTAGTCCCCTAAGGATCCTTGTAGTATTTGTATAAAATTTTTCAGTACCATCAACCAATTATGTAGAGAAGAGTGATGAATTTTGTGAGTTTGATACAATTAATAGTTTGTACTTTGCATCTCAATATCGAATGAACATTACTAACCAATAATAGTAGTCTAAAAATACTTTATTCTCCAAAAGTCAATTATCAGTATGTATTGTAATTTTGATGACTATTTGATAGTATAAACAAAAAACTATGTTTTGTCATGTGAAAATGTAGTACAACTCATTTGGATGACCACCAATCCATCTACCACGCACCTGAATAAGTGCGGATACAAAATTAATTGGCAATCCACCTACATTAATCACCCACTCACTATGATTCGGTTTATCTGTAAATGTCGTGAATTAACCACTCACGTGCCAACTCTACCTAAAAGGGGCTGATTCTTCTAGAGAGCTCCCTAGGCACCCGTTTCTTTTTTGTTTTATTTTCCATCGCCGTACCTAGTGCTAGGGCTGGTAATCGGTTAGCCAGTTAACGGATTGACTGACTAGCGAATGGGTAACCACCGATTATCGGTAAACTGTTAATCCCCAATGGGTAGCAATAATATTTATGTCGGTATACTGATTTCTTTCCGGTAACTAACTGTTGGTTATTCGGTGTACCAATACCGAAACCCACCAGGGAAAATTCAGATTCACCGCCCACCCCATCACTTCCCTTGCCTACCTTGCGAACACTTCTTTTTCTCCGTCTTTGTGTCTTCCCCAAATCAATTAATTGAAATGAAAGAGGAATTATTGAGAAAGTACAGCCACCGTTAGAGGATAAGCAACATAACAAAGTGAAAGATGAATAAGAAGTGAACGACGACAATAGCAAAAATAGAGTCCTCCCGGCGCGACCACATATCCCCATCATTGATGGTGGCGGAATTAAATCCCCGATTCCGCTCACGCTCAGAGTTAAGACCGCCATCAACGCCACGTCCATTCTGCAGACGAAGACGAGTCATTGGTAGAACCTGACCTTCTCTACCTTCTTCTTCTTCTTCAATTCCGCCCCCCACCTCAACCGGCCCACATGACTCTTCCAATGGGCTTCTGTCCGACTGATCACCAAACCCAGTCTATCCCCTGCTTCCGTTCCCTCTGACCCTCTCCATCTGGGCCCTCGCCTAACGAGTACCGCACCACCACCCTGGGCCGTCTCTCACTCACTATTAATAAAAGATTGTATAACTGTATTGGAAGTCGTATCGAAAAAGTCAACGATAAATATTAAAATATGTTATGCTAAAATTATAATCTAATCGTGGTTCAATCATTTCATATCGTACAAATAATCTATAAATTAAGATTTTGTTAGGAGGTTTTCTTGGTAGGACACTCGAACGGTATAGACAATAATACGATTTTTCAATCCTTACTATTCGTAAACACATGTTAACTTCCCAGACTCCTGGGTCCCAACTTGCTTTGCTCCGGACAGCTGCATTTGCATGCGCTTGCATGGGCCATGTCTGGTGATGCCTTTAATCAGGAATGAATGGGTGCTGCTACGTACGTACGCTGCTGGCTGCACTGCGCGAATCTTTGGACCAAAGGCTGTATAATTTATAACACAAGATAGGTAGCACGAGAATCTCCCATTTTTTTTTTCTTCTTCTGGTCTTTTATTCTTTGGTTAGCTTTAGAAACGTGTGTGAAATGTTCCAGATTGGTGTAATGGTGTCTCTTTCTGAAAAGGGTTTTGTTACTGCTGGGAAAAGTTTTTGTCATGCATGTTAAATGCTTGAAAGTTCTAGACTAAGGATATGTACGGTGGAGGACTATTAGATATTTATTTAGTTTGTATTCGCCCAGCTTGATCGACATGAGTAGGTTGTCAAGAACTAAATGGTTGATTTGTGGCTTTCATTAGTGATAGGAATGAGGCTTGGCAGGACCAGTTCCTCAATACTTATATTCGTCTCACATTAAGTGCAAATTAGGTAGGAGAATCTTTACGTGAGTGTTTATTGCGACAAATCGACCTTTTCGCATTTTATGTGAAAAATAAATGTAAAGATTTATTTGAAAATATTTTACAAATGAAAGTAGAGATAATATAATAAATAATTCCGTCCATATAGTTGAAAGATGGAGTCTTAGTTCCCTTAGGTAAAAGCTAAAAATATGATTTAGAAAATGCCAAAACAAAATAAATACAATCAGATATTAGCAAAATCAAAATAATAAAACGAGTTTGAAAATTTCTTCATAGTAAAAGTTGTAGTCCTTGAAATGATAAAAAAACAAAATATGACAATTTTTGAATAAACAAGTTTAAAGTTATGCTCGTTCGAAGTTTGCCAAAATAAAAAAAATGATGCGTTTCAGGTAGGAAACAACCTTTTTTGAGAAGATATTAAGGTAGACCGATGGTATGTGGCTTTGAAGATCTCAAAAATTTAGACGGAATAAAAAAAATTGTGACGATCAGTTAAACAAACTTGGTGAGTATCAACTTAGGTTATATGAATTTTTTAGTGTGGTTTGCTACTCCCATCAACGATCCCCCCTGGAGTGCGACTAGCTAAAGTGAACCAGGGTATATATCGCTTTCCTCAACCACAATCTGCAGAGATTCAATGTTGGTTCTCTCCCGTCTGACGCAAACATGTTCAACTTAGTTTGTCTAGTTCACTTGGCACTGAAACAAACTGTCTCAAACTCTAATATATTTTTTGGGGGGAATTAAGTGTTGTATCTAGATGGATTTTTTTATTAATTTGTTTCCCCTATATAAGTGACAACCTAGAAGGTAGATGCCCTCTTCATATTATCATTCACGTGTATCCCCACAAGCAAAGCCCCCAATCCCTCTCCCACCAAATGGCCAACTCTTATCCCATCTCAACTACTCTCTTCCTCTCCATACTCTCCACCTCCGTTGCCCTCATGACCACAAGCATCATCTCTTCCTCACCGCTCACCACCAAAGCTGCCGCCATCACTAATCCCGTCAGCCACCACCACGACGATTACGTCATCAGCAGCGGAGAAGATCACGGCCCATCCGGAGGAAAACGGCAGCAGCTTACCCACCTCCGCTTCTACTGGCAGAACGACGCCAGCTCGTCCCCCAACGCTACCGACGTGGTGGTGGTCCAGCCTGTATCCAACTCCTCCGCCTTCGGCTGCATCAGCATGATGGACGACCCGCTGACTGTGGGGCCCAGCCTCGGCTCCGCGTTGGTCGGTCGAGCGCAGGGTTTTTACGCCTGTGCTTCCCGGGAAGCGTTCGGCCTCCTGATGGCAATGAACTTGGTTCTCCTCCGCGGCGAATACAACGGCAGCTCCGTCACCGTACTGGGGAGGAACGAGGTGCCCTTGAAGGTGAGAGAGCTGCCGGTGGTCGGCGGCACGGGGGTTTTCAGGATGGCCACCGGTTATGCTCTTCTCACCACTTCTTTCTTTGACCCCGCCGCCGGGATCGCGGTTGTTGAGTACAACGTCTACATCTGGCATTACTAGCTAGCGCCTACTAGAGTAGCTACTAGCTATTCATATAATATGAAGCTCTAGTTGTGTCTGTGTAAGCATGAGAGTTTCGGGGGAAATTTTAATTAGACTTCTAATTATGACAAAATTGTATCTCAGTTTAGCAGGAACAGATCATCTCAGTAATCCTATGATCATTAATTATGAGTAATCTATCCACATCAGCATGACATCAGTATCTTCTCTTTCTTGAAAAGTCTTTTATTTATTCCCCTTTAATCTTTAACGGACGATTTCTCTTCCGTTTTAATTTGAAATTTAATTTTTTTTTTGCAGAGATAAATCGGATTAAATGTGTTCTTTAAAATGATATTCACTTTGATATATTTTTAGGGCAAGATACACTTGTATAGCCAAAACTTTGACGGTTTTGCTAAATATAGCCACTTTTGGCGAAATACCAAAAATAGCCACTTCCGTCCAATTTTTTGACGGTGTCAAGTAACAGGCTGACTGTACTAACGACATTGCTGAGTTGGCGACCGTTAGTCAATTAAACATGTGAGGTGGAAACTAAAAATAAATAAAATAAATAATTTTTATTTTCTCTCTCCATCTCTCTTCTTCCCCACTATCAAAATTTTATCCTTTTATTAATTAAGTTAAATAAAAAATCATAAAAAGAAAAAACCTTCTCCCCTTTTCTCGTCTGCATCAACGAACAAGAAATTCACTCCCCTTTCTTCTTCCCTAGAAATCCTTCTCCTCTCATCTCTATCTTCTTCTTTCTATCTTAAAAAATGCCCAGACCGGAATCAAATCTGACCCTGATTCTCAATCCACTCTTTGCATCTCGATCTCCCTAATATGAATTTTCTACTTACTAAATTGGGGGGTTCAACTGGTGGAGGAGAGGAAGGACGGGGAGAAGCTCCGACGACGGTAGCGGCGGGTTGCGAATTTGTGTGCACAGCCAGAGCAATCAGCCAAGAGTCGGGATTCAGCAGAAAGCGACAGCCTTTCGGCTCCATTACAACACATACAGCCGTGATTTCAACGAGGTCCAGCTTGCTTTCGTCAAATTATTTCATTTTTCAGAGAGATTGAAATGGGGAGGTTTTGGGTTTGGTCATGGAGAAGGTAGATAGAAACAGAAAGAGGCAAGGGAGATAATGGAAGACGTTGTGAGGGCACAAATAGGGGAAGAAGAAGAATACAATTGATGGATGAAAGTAGATCTAGGTTTATAATGGATGAAAGTAGCAGTAGTGAACTTGAAACCAGGTCAGAGCCTGATCTCCGCCACCATCAATAAGATTTCCAAGCGAAAATCGCCGGCCATAGTGTCGCTCCACACGGGGACTCGTCTATTGGCGGAGGAAGCGCCGGGAATCTTGTGGTGCCTGGCGAGTGGAGAGGCGGAAGGAGAGGTCGGCGGAGAAGGTGAGTGGTTGCGGACTTGCGGTGAGCGCACAAACGAGCGGATAAAAATAAGAATAAAATAAAATCGATTATCATTCTAAAATTAAAAAAAATATATTTTTTTAATATGATGTGGCGTTAAGGTGGCATGGCATGTTTAGTTGGAACTGGCGTGTGAGTCGAGGTGGCGTCCACGTGAGATATGCGTTCATTTTATCAACAGAGTTACTAACGGTGTTATAGTTTTTAGCGAAAGTGGCTAAATTTGTCACATATGTTTTCAAAATCTGGCTATTTCTGTATTTCTCAAAAAGTGGCTATTATTGTCACAAAGTCGAAAGTTATTGCTATGCAAATGTATTTTCCCTATTTTTAGTACAAAAAAAATTGAATAATTTTTTACCAGTCATTACCATATGGTATGCTCCTATTTAATCCATATGGTAAGAAAGCGTACCATGATGGTATAAACATACCAATGTAGTAAGAAAGTTGAATACATGATATTAGGAGTATAGTAACTGTCGTTTACGACTTTCATCATTGTTTACTACAAGTTACCACCCACATACCATAGTGGTAAAGTATGGTAATTTTTTATCCATTATTTTTTCACCCAAAAATTTATAGATCCAATAGATCATGATGAACTCATTCCTTCTGAGCAAACATTTTAAAAAATGACTTAAATACGAAGAAGTTACCATATGGTATGTAGTTGGTAAAAAAAAGTTTCTCGAAATATATTGAAAATTGATATCATTTTGTAGAGCACAACGAACTCGTTCCATCTGTGCAAAAGAAAATTGAAATCCGAGTTAGAACGAAGAAGATAAGAGCCGATTAAGAAAACTAAAGAAAATATAATGCCTTTAATTGACAACCCTTAGATCTGAATTTTCTGGACCCACTTAGATCTAAAGGTCCAGATTTAGTTACTCATAGGTCAGTAACCAATGGTTATTGGTTACTGACCCTATCCAAAGGCTCAATATAGGGTGAGTAACCTTAGGGTGAGTAACAATGAGTAACCAAATCTGGACCCTTCTTTTAAGTGGCTGCAGATCTAAGGGTGGAGAATTAAAGGAATTTATTTTCCCTAGTTTTCTTAATTGGATCATATCTTCTTCATTCTAACTCGGATTTCAATTTTTTTTGCACAGATGGAACGAGTTCGTTGTGCTCTACAAAATGATATACATTTTCAATATTTTGTGAGAATTTTTTTTTTCCAACCCTCTAGTTACCAACTCCATACCATATGGTATCTCCTTCGTTATTGTTTAGTCATTTTCAGAAACTTTTGCACAAAAGGAACGATTTAATCATGATCTATTGGATTTCAAAATTTTATGGGGGAAAAAATTACATACCTCTCGTTACCAACTCCATACCATACTACACCACTCTGGTATGAGGTGGTATTTTTCATACCATATGGTATGCTGTTATTTAATACCAATCAATACCATATGGTATTGACTGGTAATAACTGGCAAATTTTTTTGTTCCAAAAAATATCAAAGTGGATATCATTTTGAATCGTTACCAACTCCATACCATACTATACCACCCTGGTATGAGGTGGTATTTTTCCTACCATATGGTATGCTGTTATTTAATACCAGTCAATACCATATGGTATTGACTATACCATATGGTATGGTATTGACAGGTAATAACTGACAAATTTTTTTTGTTCCAAAAAATATCAACGTAGATATCATTTTGAAGAGCAAAATTAATCTAATCTAACTGTGCAAAAAAAAAAATTAAATTCCGAGTTAAAACGAGTGAGAAATCGTCCGTTAATGATTAAGGGAAAGAAAATTAATGATTTTTCCAGGAGAAAGAAGGAGGCACTGATGTGACAGATTCTTATTGGGTTATGCATGGGGTTACTCACCGGATCTGCTCCCCTATCCAAAGCCCTGTTTAGTAAGGAAATTAACATAAAGCAATATTTGGATGCGGAAATAATGGAAACCTGCATGCCGCTGTCACATATTACGTTATCAGCCGCCGAAAATGACAATAATATTAAAATCCCACGTCGTGCTTCGTCCGGAAATGTTGTGGCGTTTGCAAATCAGGACCTGCAATTTGACAAAAGACAAAGAAGAACAAAGGACGTAGGGAAAACAGAGTCTCAAAGAACAATATAAAGATCTTTAGAGAATGCTTTCGATGATATATATTGAATAGAATTCTCAGCCTTTATATAGAGGCTTCACTACAACTGAAAAGAGAGAAACAAGGAGCACAATTCTACACGATTTCCACCTAACTAATAAAGTAACATTCTAACGGGCAATTCATCAAACAGGTTGTGGGCGAAACTGAAACGCTGACTTTATTGGACGCAATTAACTGAACGTGCTAGTGCTACTAAAAACAAACTCACTCCAAACTCACAGCAATTGAATCACACTTGTTAACACTCCCCCTTGATTCAAAGTTGCAGACACCAAGTTGAGCTATGAAATAGTCATGTTTGGCTCGAGGGTGTGACTTGGTCAGTATATCAGCTACTTGTTCGTGAGTGCTGTAGAACTTCAGGCCAATCTGATCACTTGCAACAAGATCACGAATGAAGTGTACTCGTATGTCAATATGCTTCATTCTTCCAAGGAAAGCTAGATTTTTAGTCATGGCGATGGCAGCTTTGTTGCCGCAATATACTTCAGTCTCCTCAACTTGAACAGCTCCAAAATCACCCAACATTCTCCGCAACCATATTGCTTGATAGACAGCCGAAGTAGCAGCAACATACTCTGCCTCTGATTATGACAATGCAGTAGTAGCTTGCTTCTTTGAGCTCCACGTCACAGCTCCAGACCCAAGATTGAACACATGTCCAGAAGTGCTCTTTTTGTCTTCCAAAGAGCCTGCCCAATCACTATCAGTAAAACCCAGCAACTTAAATCTGCAATCAGAGGTACCACACACCGAAATCCAGTGTTCCAGCAACATAACGTAGAATCCTCTTGGCAACTCCCAAATGATGCTTTGTAGGCTTATCATAAACCTGGAAATGACACCAACAGAGAAGGCTATATCTGGTCTTGTTTGAGTGAGGTAAATTAGTACCTTGTTTCTTCACATAAAGAGTTGGCTCGTTGTCACTTCTGAAAACCAGTTGAGCAGAAATGGGAATCTATCTTGCTATACCAAGTTCGTGAAGCTTGCTTCAACCCATAAAGTGCCTTCTTCAGTCTGTAAACCTTGCTTTCCTCTCCTTTAACTTCAAAACATTAAGGTTGTGAGACATAAACTTCCTCCGACAGCTCTCCATTTAAAAAAACGTACTTCACATCAAACTGATAAACAGGCAGCTTCAAATGTGCAGCAAAAGCAAGAAAAGTTCTTACAGTCTCAAACCTTGCTACAGGAGAGAAGGTCTCCTCATAATCTATCCCATCCTTTTGTACATAGCCCTTCACCACCAATATTGCCCTGTACTTGTCGAGATTCCCATCTGCATGAACCTTGGTTTTGTAAACCCATTTCAATCCAATAGGTTTCTTACCTTCAGGCAAGTCAACCAATTCCCATGTCTCATTTTTGTTTAAGCATCCCGCTCTTCCTCCATTTCTTTTCTCCACACTTCATGTTCGAACTTTCTTCAAAGCATGTCGGTTCTGGAGCAAATAGTGAGTGAGTTGCTTCATAAATATCTTGTAGGGATCCGAACTTCTCTAGATGAGCTTTTGCAGAGTTTGCTAAACTTGGAGTTCCAGACGGATTTACAGGGCTGATTTGAGGAGTAACTTGAACAACACTTTTTGGTGTGACCGGACCATCATGTGGTGCTTCCTCTCACTCTAATGGCATCTCCAAGTCTTCTGGAACTTGATTTTCTGCAACCTGATCCCTGTTGTTCCAATCCCATTTGGATTCTTCATAAAAAATCAAATCTCTGCTGATAACTACTG